GTGCCGGTGCCGGCCGTGTCCTGCCTCTTCCTCGCCTTCCTGCTGCTGCTGCTGGCGCTGCGCCTGCGGCGCTGGCGCCGCTCGCAGCTGCTGGCGGCGGGCAGCGGCGCCTTGCGCGGCGTGCCGGCCTCGCACTTCGTGGGCATCGACGGCGTCCGCGCCTTCCTGCGCTCCTACTCGCACGAGGTGTCGCTCACCGCCGACTCGCGCAAGAGCCAGCTCCGCTTGTCGGCCGGCAGCTGCTGCGACACCCTCCCGGCCCGCCCGCCGGCTGAGGCTTCAGGTGAGCTCGTCGCCACGGGCGACCACGTTGCCGAGGACGGTGGCCAAGTGTCCTTTCAGGTACGTTCATTTTGTTTACCCTTCTTTTGTCTAACGCGGCGCTTAGGATTCTGAGGGCAGCCACGGACGTTCCCAAGCGCACCGTTCGCAGTCTTGGCAATCACCTTTTGCGATGGTCGCCAGCGCGTGAATGGCACCTCCGCAACGTGCGCTGAGTCTGCTGTGTGGGTTTTACGTGCCGTGCTCTGTACCGGCCGGGCAGAGCTCTTGGTGTCTTGCTTCCTCTAAGGCTGGAAGCTTCCCTTGCATGTGCGGCTGCGCAGGGAAAGGTTGGTCTCGAGGTCTTCCTCTGACACTTCCTTGAAATTGTGAAGTACTTCCTAGTACCGGGGTCCCAGAATGTCCTTGCCATCCCCTGGATCAGCTCTCAAATGCTGGTAGAACTGGGCAACCTCGTAGCCCGAAAGCCAACACCTCTGAAGTCCCAGGTTACTTGGAAACCCGCCTTCGGCAAACGAATTAATCAATCCCGTACAAGGACACTCAAAGGTCTACGAATAGATTGGTATTACATGGGGAAACATCCCTCTGATAGCCCTTCGGGTTTTTTCCTGCTTGTGGGCCTCGTGCCTTAACCTTTGGATCCGATACAAATGTGATTTTCGACAAGGAAGGCAAAGCGTCGTTCAGCAACGCGCTGTGTGCTGGTGCCTCTTGCTCCGGGGGGGTGAAGGTGGGAATGTGTCTCAGCGTTACAGTTGGTGTGGGAGGCAGGAGAAGTGGGACTGCTGTTGGCTGGAGTTTCGTTTGAGCGGGGCTTTGTGTTTTTATCACGCGCCGGGTCGTTTCTCGTTTTCTCCCCTGACGTGTGTAATAGCGTTTTTCCTGTCGGTATTAGCTCTTCTGAACGGAAGTGTTGCGTCATTAGCAAAGGGAAGTTAGGAGCAGGGTCAGATATCTTCCCGGCAGCAGATGTGCTTGAATGGTATTAGACTCGCTTGAAACGGAACGTTAATGGTCACGTGTATAACTTTCCGCGATGGGTTAATACTTTGTACTTTTAATGCGGCCTTATTGCTTGTTTCGTATCATTACCTGCTCGCGCGTGTAGTAGCACTTGATCTTATACTGTTTATCATTTATTATCGTTGAAAGTAGTGTGTGAGGAACAGAGTATTATGTTTTCTTAATAGCGGTACTCGTTAGAAAGGTTCTCTTCTTTTTCTGCGCTCATTCCCAGCCACTGAGCAGTTCTACTTGCGGGATGGGACTATTACAGATAGAAAATTATTTTTATCGCGCACGGCGTGTTAGTTGAGGTGTTTTTCTCAAGTCCATCTTTGGTTCAATTAATTGTCAATCTTCCCTTGTTACGCATCTTTTTCATTTAACAGTCATTTAAGATGAACTTAAGCCATTCTTGGAAATGAACGTAGTGCCGCCTGTGCCTGCTTTGGGGCGGGTCTTGTACTTGTTTCATGTGTGAAAGTTCCTCACGCAGTGTGTTGCTCAGCCAGTAGTGTCAGCAGCGTCAATTTTGTGTACCAGAATGCAGTGTGTGTTTTCCACGCTGGAGGTTCTTCTTCCTCATCCGGGAGACCATTCCCAGGCATTCCTGCGAATTCCTTGTTGCCTGCGGGAATTTTCTTGGTTGGCTCAAAGTGAGCTCCAAACTCCGGATTGAGGAAGAGGGTGGAAGAGGAGCGAAATTACTTGTTGGTAAGTGTTAAATTCTAAAATACCTGTGCGTACGTGAGCACTGGTTGGTCACCTTGGTGGTGATGCACCGCTGTGCTCTTCCAAAGATGGAGTGGAGTTGAAGAACTGGATGTTTCCAGACTGAATGTTGTGCCTTGAGACTCTATAAGCCCCTTCGTAGGCCTTCAAACTATGGGTGAAGTGCTAGAAAGTAGAGAGTATTGTCGCAGTTTCTGCTGGGGTGCGTTACAGACGGCATGGCACTTCAAGAAATGTCAAGATACTCTTGCTGTGGTTAGTCGTTTGTGCTTTTTATGTTGCCTCACAGCTTGTTTCCCATCGCTATCCCTCGCGTAGCAGCGCTTGATCTTTCGATGCTAAGTGTTTAAAGTCGATGCAAACGGTGTGTGAGGAACAGAGTAACACGCATTCTTAACAGCGTTACTCGTTAGAGAGGTTGTTTTCTCCTCCTGTGCTCCTTACCAGCCGGTGAGCACATCCAGAGTCTTACTGCACCTGGAAAGCTTTTGTGAGAATGACCTTGCTGACCACGAGAAGCGTGTTCACGCAGCAATCTTGTGGCCTCTTCTGCCAAAGGAGGGTTAATCTCGGAGGGATGGTTACTGCCCTATGGGCACTTTCATCTGCTTTACTGTTCCTCATCGCGCCTTTTACAGAGAGGTGTAGTTAGAGGCAGCGGTGTAGCCGAGGGTGTAGCGACAGTATGTCCTAATGTGCCTAATGCCGATATAATTTTCATTTCTTGCTCGGCAGCGTTACTCATAGGATTGGACTATTAGACATACACAGGTATTTTCATGGTGAACGGCTTATTAGATTTCTCTAAAAGTCTATCGTTCGTTGCTTTATTTGTCACTATTGCCTTACAACACAGGATTTTGGTTTAATGTTAATTGTTTGAAATGCATGTAAGCAGTACCTTAGTAATGCGATCACAAACGTTGAGGAAGGGTGAGATTCTGCGTAAATACCTGCTCAGTATGGGTAGGTGACCCTCTTGTATGTGTCTCTGCAGCTGAAGTAGAGCATGGCTACTTCTTCGTGAGCATGGTCTTGCTGGCGAGGAAGAGCCTGTTCTCACAGCAACGTTGTGGCCGAGCGATCGGCCACTGCTACAGTGGAAGAGCTTTGTGAAGGAGAAACTGAGTCCTGTAGTCCGTGTCTTTGTATCTTTTGAGGGACCAGCAAGAGCCCCATAAGCAGGAACTGAGTTATCACCAGGACCCTGTGAATGGACACAGTAGTTATCCATGGAGTTATCTCGTTTGGAGCAATAGAAGCGTTAGGAAAATCTGCTGTACCTGTAGTTTCAAGACTCGTGGTCTGTGTAGTGCTTGAAATGATTCAGCTGGTCGTAATGTGTCCTGATCTCTCCACGGCCACAAACCGAGACTTGGTTTGCAGAGAGTCTCGCATTCTGTGATTTCCTTTGATTGTTGCTGAGAGGTGGTGTTATCCTACAGACAGGCACTGAGGAGGATCAAGTACTTTTCCATAGACGTTGCACTCAGGACGGTTTTATCCTTTCCGTTTTCAGACCACCCCACGCCTGGAGTGTTCTGTGTATTGTCGGTGCAAAATACACGTCGCTGTGTTTGTGTCATGGGTAAACTGCCTTCTCTAGTGCTGCCCTTCTGACTTTTCTTCTTGTGACTTTTTTGGCTGTCTTTTTCCTACAAGTCTCTGGGAAAGGTAGTTGACACGTCGCATGCACCTTGGGCATCACCACGGAGGAGTATACCGCTCCTCTTTCAGTTATCGGAACAGCACACTGGTAATCAAAGCATCCTGGGCGCATGGGTACCTTTTTGCTGCCCGTCCGTGTTCTTGTATCTGCTTACTTACCCCGTTCACCGAAAGAAGCAATTCTGAAGAAATGCTTTAATAGGTCTGTGTTCCCAGTTCTAGAGCTAGAAGTTGTGGTGATCTCCGTGATTTGTAAAACTAGGAGCATATATTGATACTGCTGTTGTAGAGAATAAGGCTTGCCATTTTCTCCCAGTCTCAATCACTCTGAGAGGTATATAAGCTAAAAGCGATATAAACAAGAATCTCCTCAAAGAAAACGGCGGGTCTGGCGCTTCCTTTCAGTTTCTCTTCAGAAGTTTTTTGTAGCTGTTGCTTCTCAGAGCTCGTAGAGATTAAATAAAAGAGCTGGGGAAAGACAATCCGCAGCAAACGCAGAAGGTGGTGGAATATGTCAGGCATTGGCTGTATAGTGTACCTGCTTGTACCTACCTGTACTCACCTGTGCTCTGCTGTACGAAGTCTGCGCGCTCCTCCACTGCTCGGTAACACGTTCCCCAGGCAGATTCTTCATTTCCACTAGTGAACAGAGCTGCTTGGTTCGCCTTTCCGCGGGTATGAGAAAACTCGCCAAACTGAAAGTTGAATCGCGCTTTTCGGTAGCCGACGGCGCCGACTCCCGGCAGCTGCTGACAGTGCGGCTCGGAGCGTAGAGACCGAACCTCCCCACGCCGTCAGCCGGCTGCGGTGGCGTCGCGGCGCCTCCGGGTGCCGCTGTTGGCCGACGCGGAGCGGCGCCGGAGCCGCAGCCGTCGCC